CGGGCCCGGGGGCTGCGCCAGCGGCAGGCGCGGGAGACCGGGCTGTGCCCGGTGCGCAGGGAGCTCTACTCGCAGTGCTTCGGTCAGTCCCGCGGGCCCGGCCCGCCTGCCCCGGGGGGGCGGGCACACACGTGCAGAGCAGCTAAACGTTCCCCCAGTTGTACTCAACCCCTTCAGTCCCTGTGCAGTCACTCGAGCTGCCCCGGTTGGTCTCCCCGGTGCGAGGGGTTGCCTCTGGTCTGAGCACGACTCTGCAGCCTCTTGGCTCCTCTGGAGCTTTCCTGGTGCCTGCAGATCCCTGCACGTGTAGGTGCTGCTGCAGCTTTGGTGCGTGTGCATCGCTGCTGTCAGGGTCTCTCCACCTGCATTTGCTCACATTTGAGGCAATTCCTGTAAAGTAACAAAAAAGCTGCGAATGTGTGACATGCGGTGGGTCTGTGTGAGGGGATGTGCAAGGGGCAGCTCCGGGCGCGGCGCAGCCCGAGCCAGGCTGAGCAGCCGCGCCCCCCAGACGAGCTGATCCGGGAGGTGACCATCAGCTGCGCCGAGCGGGGGCTGCTGCTGCTGCGGGTGCGGGACGAGCTGCTGCTGACGCTGCAGGCGCTGCAGACCCTGTACGAGAGCAGCGTGGCCTTCGGCGTCAGGAAAGCGCTGCGTGCCGAGCAGGGCAAGGCGGACCTGGAAAGGAGGGTGAGTGGTTCCCTGCCCGTGACCCGGGTAAGGACGCGGCACATGAAGCTGTTGTTCTGTTTCCACGGGAGGGCAGCAAAGGTCCTCACAGCGCCTCTCGTCCCGGCGCTTCACTGTGCTCGGGAAATGCTGCTGCTTTATCTGCAGCACTTTACGGACCGCACAGTGTCCGACTTTCTCCCATCTTAACCGAAAATTCCTTATGAACAAAGAAAGACTGGAGAGACCTGTCCTCTTTCCCAGATTGTGGAGCTAGAAGAGGAGAAGCGGGAGCTGGAGAGACAAGTGGATGAGCAGAAAGCCAGATGTGAAGCCATCGAGAAACGTGACAACGAGAGGAGAGAGATAGAGGAGAAGAAACACGACGAGGAGGTTCAGTTCCTGAGACAGAAGAACCAACAGCTGAAGGTCAGTAAAAAAAAGGTTATTTCAAATAGCGATGGTAAAACTGCTCATTTTGGAGTTAAAAGTAACTTTCTCCTATTGAAGGCAAATGAAGAGGTTTTGGTTCTTTGCTGTTGGCCCAGAAAGTTGACTCCCTGGTAACCAAGACACACCATTTAACATTCAGTGAGAACAACTGTGCCCTTCTGCAGCAGGGACTGCAGTTACAGGAGGAATTCTGTGCCTGCTGCTTTGGAGAAAACAGCTTCTGCTCATCACTTTGCTTTTGGAAGGAACTCTTTCTTTACTCCTCTGAGTAAAGAAAAAAGCGTTACCAGGAGCAACATCTTTCTGGCTACAGCTAAAAACATTTCCTTTACACTGAGCTGCTTCCCTTATCTGCCCTGCTCCTGCAGTTTCTCCTTTCTAAGACTTCAACATCTTTCAGGCCATCTTGAAATGTGTAAGGGCACAAAAAGGAGTAACAGAGCGAGTAGGTGTTGCCACTGAATCCATGTTTCTTCCTTGAAGTACCAATATTTGAACAGCTGTGCATACACCACAGTTGTAGTTTATTTTGAGGGCAGCTCTAGCAAGAGGAGCATCTCCCAGCCCTGGGAACTCCCTGCTCTGCATGGGCCCCAATCAGTCTACTAATTGGGCATCAAGTTGTCTCAGCAACCAAGAAACTTGCTTTCCCAGCTACTTTTGTCCCAGAGTCAGTTTGTATTCCAAATGCTGGACAGCCAAATATTTAATTTTGCTAATGTAGCCCAGCCTGAAATGAAAGAATTCAGACCACAGTTTCAACAGCTTTAATTTCCTCCTCAATGCTTTACATTATGAAATGAGTCTCATTGTATGGAACCAAGGCCAGCTCTGCTCAGAATGCAACAAGTGTTTATGCCAAGAATTGAAAGATAAATTGTAAAACGTGTAGTAAGGAGTGGAACAGCTAGAGAATAAACCCTGGCCTGCTTCTCTTGAAGTATTGCAGCATCCTCAGCTCCCTGCTTTGAGTATCTAACAGACAATTTATCACTTTTCACTAATGTGGGCTTATTTCTTAGCTTCAGTCTAATTTGACTTACTGTCTCATTTGTTTTTCAGACCCAACTTGAAAGCATCATTGCATCAACTAAGTAGATTTCTTTTATTGTCCTCCAGACAGTACTCAGAAGACCTGTCAGAGCAAGAAGTCTGCAATTAGTGACAAAGATTTGTCTTCATAAAACAATCTTGAATTTTCACTTACTGGTAACTAAAGGCAGCCTAATTGTATTCTTTCTTTCTTGTTCTCTTGAAGAGTTGAAATTCAGCAGCTTCACTAATTCCTGCATGCTCTTTCAATGCCATCTGAGCATTCAGCTCCTTGAATCCTGAACCTGTTGGTAGTATGATGCTAGAGGAACTTCAAAGCAATAAACTGATACAGTTTTACATGCAAGCATCTCTGTACTATTATTACTTTGAAAATGCTGTAGAAAATTCAGGAACAACCTACTAAGAATCAAATTGCAGGCAGTTCTTGGACAGATGTTAGGAGGGTATTTCCCTGAGCAAGTTGGTGTTGGTTGTACATTAAAATCCCTTGTCAGAACCTCAGTAACCGGAGTGAGTGGAAGCAAAGGTCCCCACGTGGCTGTTCCTCATGGAACAAGGGGGTGTGATCCATTCCAAGCACCACTGCTCACTGGGAGCAAATGAAATCTTGAATTGAGGGACGTGTGTAACTGGCTGGTTATTCCAGCAAGCAGACCTGGGGAAGGCAACTCACTGCAGTTGTATGAAAACCATGGAGCCAGCTTCCAGAAAAAAAACAAGCCATGGCCATGGCCAAGTAACACTTGGGGATGTTTTGCAGGACAGTGTTTACTGGCCCTAGCTGGGGATGTGGAAATACCACAATCTCCAGTTGCATAAAGAACTTTCAGATGATGCAGAAACAAAGAGTGAGATGCTACTCCTGGGAACAAGACAGACCAGTCAAAATAGGCTTTGGATGGCAACTGCAAGTTTTATATTAAAAAAGCCACTGCATACTAGAGCTGTTTTATGTAAAATTTAATAGAATAAGTACTTATTGCTTATGCTTGTATTTTTTGTGCTTTGATCTTTGTCCCTCCAAGCCAGTTTTTTTCTTGTCCTTGTTCTTATTTTTCACGTTGTGAGTTTCATAATAGCGGACTCCAACTTTCTTGGGGCGCTGCTGCCGCTCGGCCCGTCTCCTCTGCAAACACACACACACACATCAGCAAACCCACAGCCTGCCTTTGTTTGCATTCCTTCAAATGTTCACTTTGCATTCCATGTGCCTCTAGTAGAATAAACTATTTCAAACAAAACATACTGATGTGAATATACGGGCATTATATGGAATCCACCCCCTTGTGCTTTTATGATGTTAAAAAGGAAGATTTGCTTCAATCTTCAGCAAAAGGAGTAAACAAAGCATGAGGAGCAACCCCGTGTGTATGGTCACACAAGAGGTGTTAGCAGAAGTGTCACAGAACATTCATGTATAGGATTCAGTTTCCTGCTCCCCTTGGACAGTCCCAGCAGTGCTCCAGAAGGCCTGGCTGGACAAAGCTGCTCATGAACTGCTTTCCAAGCCCCACAGACCGTTTCACTTGGCATCCAGTGATTCAAGCAGCAGCTCAGACGTGACCAGCAGCTCTCTTTGAAGACACAACAGTAGTACCCATTCCATTCCAAATTTTCCCATCTCCCAGCATTCAGACCCTGCTCTCCTGACAGCAGCAGGGTCAGGTGAGGGCTGAGAGCAGGACAGACACCCCCCAGAAACTCTTCCTGAGTGTTTGCTCCCCTGGTCTGTGTCCAGCTGGAGGTGCTGCTGGCCCAGCTCTCAGCAGCAGCAGCCCACGCTGCCTTCACACTCCTCCTGCCCCAGTAACAGTCCCTGCACTCTGTCCCTCCTGCTAATGCCCAGTCTCAAAGCTCTGCAGTGACAATGGGTTATCTAGATATAAAAAGGAAAGCTCTTACTCTGCTCATTTGCTTTACTAGAAGAAATCACACTTACTTCTTTAGATGTAAGTTTCTTGCAAGGCTGTTCATCCAAATGTTCATCATCATCTTCCTCTCCTGCTTTCCTTTTCCTTTTCTTCCCTGTGCTGCCTGCAAACAGTAGAGACCACACACTTGGACATCTTCCCAAGTTCTGTTTGCAGAACTTCAGACTGTGGTCACCATCCCACCTACCTCAGCATTCCTTTGGTCATGTTTCCACACCTTCTACCAACCCCCCACGCACGTTGCTTACCAGCAATTCCCTCACTATTACCATGAACACTGTTCTGGAGAAGCTGATTGCTTAAAGCCCCACACAAGTCCAGAAAAATGTCACAGTCTTGTCAGAATAGGGCTCTCCCACATAATTTTGCCTTTAATCAAACTTGCTATGGAAACTGAAGCCACAGACTCTTGAAGTCACTGCAATAAAACCTGTAGCCTGCAGTGGCTGTGCTTTTATAACAGCCTAAAACCCTTCCACTCCCTTCTGTGCAGCTTTGCACCCTGTGGAGAGGAAGCTGCTCAGACTGCAATCTGCCCAGAGCACCATTCCTCTGGAAAGAAAACATTTGCCTTCACTTTACCTTCACTGTCTAGTGGGGGCACAGATCTTACTCTACAGACACGTGTTCTACAGCAAGGCCAGCAGGCAGCCCTCAGCTTGGCAGTGGGAAGATTTAAGTAGCTTTTGGGGGAAAAAGAACTTGCAAACAGGAGCTAATGAACACTTCTTTCCCTCTTCTCTTGCTTCTCAGTGTCTACTAATCTTGTTTTACCTCCATCTTCAGTTTCTTTGGGTTCTTCAGATTTCTGCATGGATTTTGCAAACACTTTTTCACTCAGCTGCTTAGGGATTCTACAAAAGATAAAATGGGCAAAAAAAAGAATGTTGTAACATAAAACATAACCATCTCCAAGAACTGATCAAGCTCCAGGAGATCCTAGTAGCCCATCAGCAGCAGAGCCATGGCCTTTGAACCTAAAACACATTATTGCAGTATTTTGTCTCTGGGGTTACTGGGCTTGTGCACTGCACAAAGGGATAAAATGTGACACTTAACCTTGAAATCTTAGTCTCACAAAACTGCTGGTAAGCTTTGCTAGAACTGGGCCAGCTCTGTGAGCTGGGGCACTCCCATACACAGATGGAGACCCAGCTGGAGTATCCAGGTAGGACATTAGCCTTGGTGCTGCTCAAGAAAGAACCCAACATCAAGGAGAGATGAACTACTGCTACCCAGAACAACAGATCTCTCATCCACAGCTTAAGAGGCAGCTTCAAAAAGGTGGAACATTTTTGTTATGATGGCAAATAGGATTTCTTGGAATGATCTTTCAAAACCAAACCTGTGCTTAGCCAAGGTTCAGATATTTATGGCTAAGCAGATCACCTCTGGCAGCTTGTGTGTGGCACAAGACAAGCAAGTCATGAGTGGAGGGAACATACAGCAGAACAACATTAGCACCTTTCCCCCAACAAACTACCTGGCTCACTGAACAGGTTCAGGTACCTTATTGCTGAGAATCTCTTGGCTTTGGCTTTATCCAGGAATTTCTTGTATTTTGCAATCTTCTCCTCCAAAGCCTGAAGAACTGCCTTTGAGCTCTCCTTGACAACTGGTGCAGCCACTTGTGGTTCCTCCTCCATTGAATCTTGATGTTGCCCATTTTCCTCTTTCTCCTCTTCCTGCTCCTCCTCTCCAGAAGAGTCACTGTCTGTTTCATCAAAGCCTGGCACGTCTACAGGAACCAGGTCTTCTTCTGAGAACTCAGGTGCCACATTAATCCTCCCAAAGTTCTGCCGAACATGGGACATGAGCTGCTTCATTTCAGTGCTTGGGTTATTCTCTTCTGCTGGCTCCACACCTGCTGCCACGGGCTCAGAGATCTTCTCCTCATCATTATCTTGGCTTGATGTCACAGGTACTTCCAACACAGGAGGCTACAAGGAAGAGTGCAATGGATATCTTATCCACAGTGCCTGTTGCACCATCTCTGAGAGCTATTTCCATTTTATCTCTTTGAACAAAGTCAAGATGACAGGCTAAAGGCGTGACAACTACTGGCATTTCTGGCAATCAGATGATAGCAAAATGGTCAGACATCTCTGGAGAGCATCACTACAGAGTCTCACCAAATTCGAGTGTCATCTGAATCACCAGATTTGAGCAGAGCCCAAGGTGTTCACTGCCCAAGTTAGATGGCACCCTGGGAAAGCCAACGTGAATCCCATTAGGGAAATTAGATAATGGGAGAGAAGAGGTGACACGAGCACCACATTCCTACCTGGGGACCTAGCTCTGCATTGGGTGGCTTCACAAAGAAGGGAATTCTGCCTCTCTGCCAGTCATTGAGAACCATCTTGCTCACCGTTTGTGTGTCAGGTTCACCACCCTGAAAGAACCCAGTGACAGTTTATGTCCACGTGTGCAGGGCACACCACCTTCCTTCCACCTGTAAGCAACAGAAACACTCCTGCTCCCCATGGTCAGTAAGAGGCCCCATGCTCTTTCAGCCCACAAATGCAGAATGTTGCCACACCTTTAGCAGCTTTCCAGTCCTAGCAGCAAGTTTCTCAAGGAATTCTTCTGTATCCTTCCAGGAATCAATTTTGTACGTCTTTCTGATGTACTCTGGTTTGGCTCTTTCCAGCACAGCACTGATATGATCTTCAGGGCTCTTAATCTTTTCAACTTGAACCTGAGAACAAAAGTCAGAGCATCAGCCCCTTGTTTGTTTGAGCCCAGATCTGACCGACCACAGCAAAGGTCCTCCAGCACTTTGTGCAGGTACATACCACTCCCTTCAGCACAATGTCTGTTTCTGTATCTCCAGATGGATAAACCACACCTGGGCAGTCAATGAGAAAGATCCTCCGCATCAGGGTGATGTACTGCCAGACCTGGGAGAGCCAGAGAGCCCTGTCACCTCCTGCCACAACACCCAAACCTGCTCCAACACCCTGAAGCCAGGAGCTGGGCACTCACACAGACACAGAATGTAACTCAGCAGCCCTGCTCTGTGCTCCTCCTGCCCCTGCCAGAGCCACCCCACAGCTCCCTCCAGCTGCTGATGCCCAGGACCAGAGTGAGGAAACAACAACCACGACCAACTCTGACACTCTGTGGTTTTCCTCTTCCATGATTCTTAACTTTAGTGACATTTATGAACAAGCTCACAAGGAAGGTTCCTTGTAACTTTGTCTTCTTGTTTACTGTCATATTTCAGAAGAACAAAGCCAGCTCTAAGGAGCCTGGCAGCACAAACGTGCCCAATCATTTCATTTGGAAAAGCAGACACAAGTCAGGGCAGCTGAGCACTCAGGTCCCAGCACTGCTGGGCAGAACAGTGGGAATCAGGAATGGTGCCCATGGCTGTGCTGCAGAGCAGGGCCTGTTCACCAGCCACCCCCAGGCTCAGGGTCACAGCCCTAGACCTGAAAATGACATTGAGCCCATTTTTACATGAATTCTGCCTTTGATAATGCACATACATAATTTTTATCTTTGATGTTGGGATTTCTTCCTACCTTTGTTTCACCTGCAATAGGTGCCACATTGCAGACCTTCTTAGACCTCAGGGTATTGATGATTGAGCTTTTGCCAACGTTGGGATAACCAATGAAACCCACACTGATCTGCTTCTTGTCAGAATGTAACTGTTAAGAAACAATATCTCCTTTTAACACCTCATAGAGAAAGGCAGAATTACCACTGCAGCTCTAAGCACTAGAGCAGCTACTGCTCTCACTATAATGTAAAGCAAAAGCAGCACATTACAAAATTACATCAGTTCTTTCTATCAGGAGAAATGTATTAGGATACAACTTGGCACCCAAGAACTCCTAGCACTGAAGACAATATTTGCGACTTCAAAAGCAAGACATGAACCTCTTGCATTCCTGACTGCTCTAGAATTACTTGTGGATGCTTTCAAAACTCATCTAAGTTGAGAAACCAAGCAAAGAGTTGTTGGGGACAGAACACAGACATGGCTTGAAGAGACAGTGACTAATCTAAAGGCAACAGAAAGTGACTTTCTTGGAAAAATAAAGCCATGTAAAAAGAGAGTACAGACACATGTAGGAGATCAATAGGTGTGAAGTATGTTCCCTTCTACACATTCAAATGAGCCCTAGGAATGCCACTGGGGTATCTGGTCTACAGCAAACCTCGACTAGAGGCTGATGGTCAAACCTACTCTTTATGGATCTCCTCAGCCTGACAAACATTTAGAATGTATCTGAAGGAGTACTTTCCATTTTCTCTCCAAAGAGGGGAGCTTTCCTAGTGGAGCTGCTTGCTGACAGAATGGCCCCAGGAAAGTGTGCTGAACCCCAAACACTAACAACACAGAGACCCCGCACCGAACACCCCTGCCCCCAGACAACAGCACAAATCCCCCACATTGGTCTGTACCTTTCCAAACTGCCTTAAGAGCTGTATGAAGGCACCTTTGCCAAAAGGGTTTGTGAGGCTGGCGTGAAAAGCAAGTGTTGGATACTCCTGGGAGAGGATGGCGACCCAGCGCTTCTGCAGGGAGAGGGGAGGTCAGGACCCGCTGCCCAGGGCAGGACTCGGCAGCTCCGCTTGGGGCACAGATGCAACTGGCTGCAAGAACTGCTGTGCAAGAACCTTTGAAGCATTTCACCAACACAACAGCTAAAAGCACCAAGTATTGTTTTTATAAAAGACAATTTCCCAAAAACGCCTTCACTGCTCGAGCTAATTAGTTTAACAACATAAAGCAAACCAGCTGTGGTGGATACGGATCTTAAGCAGACCAGCATTCAGCACACTCTGGAGACATCAGCTGAACTGTTAAATCCAGACAGAGGAAGTAGAGAATTTGTGGCTGGCGAGTGTTGCTCAACTTGGCCAAACTTGGACAGATTTACACGGTAATTGTTACTTTTATAGCAGGCAAGCAGAGAGTTCCCAGTGACCCAGCTACATGACGCCCTTTGAGGACAGCATGGGGACTGGCAACTGAACTAAAGCAGAGGCTACAAAAGGAACAAAGGAGATCCAAGGAATAACAGACAGGACTGTGCTTACAGTAGCCCAGGTAGGAACAAGATCACATTTGTTCAGGACAAAAATGAGATGTTTCCAGTGCTTCTCCTTTTTCAGGTAAGATTCCACATGCGGGGAGCGAGTTCCCATGGGATCCCTGGCATCAAGAACTTGAACAACAACATCTGATGAGTCTATCACCTGAAAAACATAATGCAGAAGGGTTTTTTGAGAAATATCTATAGCTCCAAAATGAAAACTAGTAAATTAAAAAAACCTTAACAACTGTGCCCTCCCCACAGATGAGCAAAGGCCAGACCAATCCCCATGGATCCTCCCCCCCCTCTTCCCCCAGCTCCCCTCCACACTCAGCCAGCACAGCTGAATGGCTGGTACCTGTTCCGAGGCACCAGGAGAGGACTCCTGCACTTGGGAAAGAAAACACAGCTCCCAAAAAGGAAAATTAATTGCTTCAGTAGACAAAAATAATGTTTGCCATCCATTCTGCAGCAATTCAGTTCTGCCATTTCATAACGGATCAGGATATAAAGTATGTTTTCTGGATAAATATGAATCACACAATCAAGCAGGAACCTGCTGTTAGTCCACTAAGCATCTACAGCAGGGAGCTGTCATTTATGACTTGATTCAAGCCAAGTGAATTTGTTTCACAGCTATTTCCTGCATTTTTGGCAGTGTCCTACTGAAATCTGTTTTTCTCTGTCGCTCCCAGCACTTTTAGATCTAAATGAAAAGGTTTTAAGCTGCATTTGGAAATTGGAAATTCAGAGCAAAAAGTCAAGCAATTTCACACCTAACAGTCCCTGAGAGCACATAAACTGCTCTTACAGCCCTAATTCATTCTCAGTGTCCATTCCTCCAGCACTCAAGGTCAGAGCCCTCCCAAGACAGCCCTATCAACATGCCAGATGTTTTTAGCCTAAAGACACTCGGGGGCCTCTGGCTGGTTTATTTGTGGTGAAGCCCCAGGAATCCCAGAGAAGGTGACACCCTGGCTCTGCCAGTCCCTCCCTAGATCATATATTTAAAAGTTGTTTGTTCCAGTGGGACAAGAGCTGAAGAATCAAGCTCAGTCAGGCAGAGATTTGAAAATGAGTCTCTGCTCTCCACCACAATTGGCTTTTTCTGTTCCCATCTGTGCACTGTGTCCATACCAGAAGAAGGGTGGATGGCTTCAAGCGTGTTAGTCCAAGCAGGCTGCCAGGAAAGCAGGCAAGGACAAACTCAGGACATCTCTGCATGAAGAGGGCTGCTGTCTTAACCCTTCTAAGAAAGGTTACAGCACATTGAATTGTACCACAGCTTCCCTCATAAAGCAATACATGGTTTTCAGAGCTGTTCTGATTAGTGCTGCCCAGGATTCCCAGTGCTGCACAGGATTCCCAGTGCTGTTTTGAAGCTGGACTGGGCAATGGCTGATGGACGTGACTGCTGCAAACGACAAGTGTTGCTTACCTTGTAGAGCTCACCCCAGATTCTTTTGGACTGTCCTTTCCTGTAGATATCCTCCTGTGCTTCATCCCTGGAAGCAGATCAGCAGCGGCATCAGCAAGAGGGCGCCAGTGCTGCCTCCTCAAGAGCCAGGCAGCCCCCGAGCCAGGACGCAGCTCCTCACACACACACCTTCCAGACCCTGCCCACCGGCCACTCCCAGACAGAGCTGGCCCTTCTGAAGCCAAGGGCTGAGCAGTGCCCCCTGTACCTGACGCCGGTGTCCTCGGTGACCAGGTCGCGGTCGCGGCCGCGGTCGTAGGCGCTGTTGGAGGCCTGGGCACCCTCCAGCAGGGCCTGCAGGTCTGGCCCGCCCAGCGCCGCCCGCTTGCGCTGCGCCCGCGGCCCGAACGTCGCCTCGAACGTCTCCGTGTCCAGAATGTGAACCCTGGAGGTCTGAGGGAAAAGAGGGGTGTAAAAAAAACCCGCGGGCAGTTTTGTTCCCCCCCGGGTGAGACGCAGCCTGCGGGACCCTGCCGGGGGTCAGGGCACTTCCCCAGGGTCCCAGCCCCCAGCCCCATCTCTGGGGAGCACGAGGGGTGTTTAATGGGCAAGAGAGCACTTGCCAAAGAGCTGTGCTCCAGTTCCTTCACCATCAACAATGTCACAGGTAATTAAAGCTCCAATGATGAAAATTCAGCTGCTATCTTTGATCATTTCCTATTTTTCTAACAAGTGCACAAATCTCGCCAAATTCACAGTTTGTCAGGGGTCATTACAATCAAAACTGTAAAGTTTAAAGCCCGTAAGGAACGCCAGCTTTTCTTGGAACAACAAACAGCTCATTGCTGGAAGAAGGAATTAAGTTCTGTAATGCACATTTTAGTTTCTTGCTTCTTTTTCCTTAATTAAAGTAACATTTGTATGACATAAACCCAGCAAGTTTCCATATGAGAAAATTGCTAGTGAGAGTCCAAAAGAATGATTCAGATGCCATGAAAAAAAGAGCAATAACTAAGATCTGATGTAGTAGGAATGAAGGCTGCATGCACAAGAATCTCTGATTCAAGACAAAAAGCACAGATTTGAGTTCAAATGCATCACACAGAGTGACTGGGGAGTGAAGTGCCCTCAGAAAGGTCCCTCTGCCATAGGAGCTGTTAGAGGGGACAAGTGGCTACAGATCCCCTGAGCTGGCACAGGAACCCGGAGCATTTTAGGGTAAGTTTCCTATTGGAAAATGAGACCTTCCAATGAATCACAGATCTCCTCTCAAACTCCTCCTCTGCCTTCATCCCCCGCCCGCAGGGCCAGGCTCTCAGAACTGTCCCTCCCCAGGTCCTGCCCCCCGTGCTCCAGGACAGGGGCAGGGCAGCTGCCCCCCTGGGACCCCCCTGCCCAGAATCCAGCCCCTCCACACACAGGGAACAACTCACGTGTGGTTTGATCCGGTCGTGGAACAGAGACATGGGCAACTTCCTCTGCTTCATCACCACCCGGTACGGGTCCTTCATGACCGTTTCCATCTCCTCCTGGAACTTCTGCAGGGAGGACTGCTTGATCACCCGGGTATTGCCTGTGCCACAGGAGCACTGCAGCTGAGCACTGCTCACTGGCACTGCCCAGAGCCTGGGGCACCAATACAGTGCTGATGCTCTGATGGGAACCAAAAACACCAGCGGCAACCACCAGAGGACTTTGCTTGAGACAACCCAGAAATCAGAACAATTAAGCCAATTCTTTCCTTTCCCACTACTTGAAAAGAAACGTTAAAAGCTTCCGCAGGGCACGTCACACCCATGGGCTGCAGCAGAGGTGGGCAAGGCTGGAAGGGGCAGAGCACCCCAGGGTGCAGGGGCTCCCAGGCCTCCTCTGCCCCACAGCACCGAGACCCCAACTCTGACACAAACACCCTCCAAGGTGCCCCATGTTTTTAAGCTTGAGAGTCTCAAAGTTGAAAAAAAAAACAACTCACCAAACCACTTAATATTTGGTTCCACTCTTGCAACCGTGCCTGGTGCCACTGTTGACTGGTACTGCAGAGGCCTGATCACTTTGCCATGTTTGTTTCTAGGTGAGGAATGAGAGCACGTGCCTGCAGGGGGGCAGCACCCAGACCCCCCGCACAGCTGGAGCCCAGGGAGTGTGAGCAGGGACTGAGCTGCCCGTGCCTGGGGACAGGGGTGGTGACACAGCCCAGACACACTCCTGCAGCCTTTTGTCACCCCAGGAACGAAAGCACCAGAACAGACCTGCCCGTAACCCCCCTGTGCTCCCCCGGGCTCCGGGGAACCCGCACCCGGCACCGCGCTGGGCCCCGGCCCAGGGATCTTTTCCAACACACCGTTCCCCGCCGCTCCCACCGTGGGACCTGG